GGAAATTAGTGTATTGATGTATTTTACAACCAATTAGTCTGATTTAGTACTATTATGTTGACGAAAGCGAATATTGGAGGATATTAGAATCGTGTTGAAAGATGTCGGTGATAACGTATCGAAGACGATTCTATTAATATTGATGTATATTAGTTAATAATGTTTTGCAGTATCAAGGACGATATTGATATAAAATGAGAAAGATGTGAACTAAGGCCATTGAAGATGTTGGCGGTTAACAGATGCGATATTGAGAGATATCAGGAATCATGTTTGGCGATATCAAAGATAATGCGGAATATGTTGGGGGAGACCAGAGAAGTATTGAGAGATATAAGTGAGAATAAAGGATATAACGTTACATCTTTAGCTTTTTACGACAAATCTAACAAATTTCTAACTAAAAAAGTTTCTAAATCAATTCCAATGTTGCAAAAGTCAATAATAATGACATCTTTATGTACGGAGATACTGAGATATTGCTCTGCAGCATAAAGCAAAGAACTGATAGTAATACAAAGTATCGGTTGATACCATTCCGAAATACTCTACATTACTTGACATCATATAAATTACATATGTAATGCTTTTATATTAACTGAATTATGAGGTATGAAATATACTGGGATTTTTATTGAAAATTGGGATTCAAACGGTTAAAGCTTTGTAACCAAATTTGGATCAGGTGGTTCACAAATGATTTGCCAAAAAAAATAACACGTCATTACACAAGCTATCATTACAAGCACTCCTATACAGTGTGCGGCAAAATTATGGAACATATTCAATAAATTGATAACAAATTTTTTTTTGGAAAAATGCCGAAACGGGTCAATTTTGGTTAATCATAACACACATTATGACACCATATTCACTTCCTGATAATTATTTTTTTATGAGTTATGACGTCATCGACATTTTTTAAATGGCACTATATGCATTTGTTTATAGAATCTGAAAGTATAAGGAAAATTTTAAGAAAATTAGGTTTAAAGGTACAAATTTTATTTTTTTTTCTGAACTTAAAAATAGTATTACCCATGGGTAACCATGGAAACGCTTTGTTTGGTTTTAATAATGTCTATTCAAAAACGTCAAAATTAGTTTTGTGAGTGTTTAATTGAATTGAAACAATTTTTATAGCGATTAATTCCTGTATTTTTGCATTGTTTTCTGTGTTGTAATTGTTTGTTTGTATTTTTTTTCTGTTTTATGTTGTTTAGTTTTGTATTAGTTATTTTGCGTTATATTCTGATTGAGATTGTTATTTGTTGTTATTTTTTGCCGTGTTCTGTGTTCATTAGTCCAGTTTTGTTCAATATTTGTTACTGTTTTGTTTTTATTTTTGAGCATTTGTTGTTACGTATTTATTTTAAAATAATTATGGCTCATTTAAGTGAAACCCAACGCATAGAAATTTTAATTCTTATTGGATGTGGAGATAAAACCCGAACACAACAAGAGGTATGCAATTTGTTTAATGCAAAGTACCCTGACAGAGTTATTAGTAGATCAACAGTTAGCAAAATTGACAAGAAATTTAGAGAAACTGGACATGTTAAGCACATTGCACATGCTGGACGTCCTAAAATCAACGAAAATGTGAAACTTAATATTTTGTTAGCTGTTGAAGATGATCCCCATAGTAATTCGAGACAAATTGCAGCGGATCATCAAGTTTCTCAGCGATCTGTACTACGTGTGCTACGAGCAGAGAGGTACCATCCCTACAAAGTGCAGTTAGTGCAAGAACTCAATGAAGATGACACAGATCGCCGCATGGAATTCTGTGAAATTATGCAGAATCGATGTGACCGTAATCCACTCTTTATTTACAACGTTTTATTTTCGGATGAAGCTACATTTTGCCTGAATGGCACATTT